AAAGGTGCATGCTGAGTAAGGTAGAGCACAGAAGAATTGATGTACTTGAATAAGATTGTGGGCAAAGAATGTTGAAAGTATTGGGGACTGTTGGCAGAACAAACAAACCTATCTTGGAAGGATTAGATCCACAATGCTCTTCAGAAGCAAGGATGGTGAGTTGGTTTTTTTTGTTGTTGTATCATTCAGTGACTGCAACAATGGGGTCAAACATAAAAATTACCAGGATGGCACAGGACTTAGACGTGTTTAGTTTTATTATATACAATGAGTTAGTGCTGACTACACTGCAACTAATAACAATAACTAGTCAAAGGGTTGGCTCTTCAGACCTGCAGTACTACAGAAGGAAGCCCTGAAGATCTGCTCTGGAAAGCAACAGCTTAGTAGTTGACAGTAAGCAGAGAGAGCGAGAGAAAAAAAAAAAGATTTTTAAAGGGAGGTTTATTCACCTGCTGAAGAAAGGCAACCCTATATATCTGTTAAAGATGATCAAGCATTTCACCAAGGTTAAACATAGAGGAGAAAAAAATAGCAAAAATTACTTTACCTTGTGTTAGACAGGCTTCTCTAGAGAGATAAAACCAGATTGCTGATAAGTTTATATATTTATTTATGAAGATAATTAGATATATAACACAAGAAATGAACTGTTAAATTATATAGTGATAGATAGATACTATACAGTGAACCCTCGCCACTTCGCGCTTCGACTTCCGCGGCTTCACTCTGTCGCGGTTTTTGCGTAACAGTGCATGCTCTGTCATTACTGCCACTGATTGGCTCATACTGTACACGCTTGATGCCATAAATAATATAATAAATAATAAATGATAATTGTAACGTCCAAAATGTTTTACTTTATTTTCCCTTTTTCGTTTAATAAATTGGGTAATACAAGTGTAATGGTGACTAAAGGGTGTTTTTTCATGTCCTTTATGCTCTAACTACGAAAATATTTGATTTACAAATAAGGAATCCTACTTCGCGGAATTTCATTTATCACGGTAGGGTCTAGAACCGATTAACCGCGATAAACGAGGGTTCACTGTATTATATACTGAAGGGTTAGGCTCCCCGAGCCATTTATCTCTCCGCCCTTCAGTTAATCCCACTTGTGTTTATCAGCCAGGCTGGCACAATAACTATCTCAACCTTTTAATAGCCAGTTAATAGTTTAATGGAGAAGGAGTAAAGAGGGGGAGGGACAAGAATGGAAGAGGGAGAAGCCTGTTAAAATAAGAAGAAAAGAAATGACAGGCAATTGAGTCAAATAGGTAGGGAAAGGGAAAGTGGTGAAGTGAGGAGACTCTTCAAACAATCTGTTGAGTGCCTGCTAAAAGTTGCAGGAGGGGTAAAATGAAGAAGGTATCTTAGGAAATAAGCACCTTGTCTTTCCAGTCCAGTGTGTGTGATGTTATACTATGAAGGGGAAGATGAGACAGGGATGAGAATTCAGAGAAAATTTAAACATGTTTTTGGGCCATGAGGAGTCAGTCAGCCAGTTGCAAAACCCATTTTAAATGTTTAAAATCCCTACAAACAATAAAGTGATTTTAATTTTAAAAAGCTGAGAATTTCACACTGCTTCACTTTCCCCCCCCCCAATAAGGTTTTTGCAAGAAACTCTTCCCCGATACAGAAAATTTTAAACAAACATAGCAGACCTGAACCATCCCTACAACTGTTGTTAAGTTTGAGCCCATTGTTGCTGCCACTGTATCAAATCCATCAACCCTTCCTCCGTGTAGCTAGCCCTCTACGTTACCAAGCATTATGCTCTTTTCTAGGGACTGGTCTCCTAGATTACACCATCAACATTTTACTATCCTTGTTTTATTGAATATGTATCCAGGAATCCATTAATGCATACTGCTATTTTTTGAAGGGTTTCAGAGAAAGTTTCAGAGATTAGTACTACAAACCATCCATCCCTAGTCTGTCAGCATGGTGACTTCTAACTGGGAGCCTTTTTTGAGGGAATGCTGTTAATATGCTTCTTGATGCAGAGAACTCAGTCACCAAGGGCAAGGTCCAGGCAGTGTTATTTATCTCAAGCTGAGAGCCTTCAATGAGGAAAACCTGCTAATAGGCCTTCTGACTTCAGATGATTCAATGGTCACTAAATACAAGAAATAGCAGGCACTGGCCATCACTCAAGGAAAGAGTGATGCCCAGTGGTCTTCTGTTGCTTATAAATTTGTTAGCATTAAGTCTCTTCTAAACTATGTGGCTGGCCTTGCTATGTTTTGGATGTTTCTCCCTCATACCCTGGGTGGTGTCTGTTTTCCCTGGGGTCACGACTTTATCTGTCTTTTTCAGGCTCACAGTCTAGCATTGTTTATTTTTCGCGTTGTGCTTCCACGATATACAGAACATCATAAAGCCACTTTACCATTGCTTCTATAAGCAACACATTAGCTGCTTCCTCTAGAGCGTTCCAGTGGGTATTTAAGGAGAGAGAGGGGAAGTTTCCCTCTCAGGATAAACAAATCTCATGGCAAATTGTTTCCCGTACATCAGACTGTCTGGTCCTCTAGGTTAACTTTCTTTGTGACTAAATCTAGTCACTAGATCTAGTGACTAGATCTACCATTCATAACTGTTCCATGGTGAACTGTGGGTGTTGGTGGAGAAGAATATTGAAGTACCATGAAACAAAGTACCAAAAGAACAAATACCATAGATACTCGAGTATAAGCTGAGTTTTTCAGCACATTTTTATTGTGGTGGTTGTGGTAAAATTAGGTGCCTCTGCAGATATTTGGGTTGGCTTATACTCAAGTATATATAGTAAGTAGGTTTTGGAGGAAGTACAGCCTGAATGCTCCTTAGAAACCACAAGACTTGTCTCCCATATTGTGGACGTGTGTCAGGAGATAACAATTGTGAGGAAGGAGCAGGAGCGGGTTGTGTTCGTCTATTGCACATATTGTCCCTGTGAGTTGGAGCCAGCTCACAGGCTAACATCGACATGTGCACACTGTAATCTTCCACAAACCCAGTGCTCAGAATTTCAGATACAATCCAACCTATAGCCAACTTTCTCAGTCATGCAATAGTTTTGGGGAAGGTAATATGGAAAGGTTTACTGAAAAAAGCTAGGTAAAAGCTTAGAGTTTTTGAAGGTAGAACAGAGCTTATTTGCATATTTCTCTTCTACATTCTACATCTACCATGGGCTAGGCATGAGATAGGAATTCTAATTTTTTGTTAAGTGTTTTTTGCCACCGCAGATACAATATTCTTTCTTGACCAGTTGGAGTTAAGCTTAGACCATGAATCAGGTGGTATAGTAGCTTACCCACTGGCTGCTAACCCAAAGGTCAGCTGTTTGAAGCTACCAGCCACTCCATGGGAGAAAGATGAGGCTTTCTACTTCCTTACAGAGCTACAGCCGTAGAAACCAACAGGGGCATTTCTCAGACTCTGTCCAATAGGGTCTTCCTGATTCAGAATCAACTTGATTACAGTGAGTTTTTATTTAACACCAAAGAATATTTTGGCAACATTTGTAGTTTGTTTTCAGGATACTTTTCCTCTCCAGTCTCCCAAAGAACGAACTGTGTAGTTTTGCTTACTAAAACGAATTTGGAATTAGTAGCTTTGCATTTTGTCTCTGCTATTATTTGCCTTTGGCAAATCTCAGCCTCTCTGATTTTATTCACTAACTACATTCTTTGACAGCACACATCTCTAACTGACATCAGGGAGCCCTGATGGTACAGTGATTGAATGCTCGGATATTCACCAGATGCTGTCGAGGGGGGTTGTGGGAGGTCCAGTGGTGGTCCTGGTAGTGGTGGTTCATGGCAGAGCTTTGTAAACTGTGTTCTTTTGCACAACTGTCACCTATTGTTTCACATTCAAAGGATGTGAACAAATTAACAATCCTCGTTTTCTCCCTCCCGGCCTCCCTCTCTTGTTTCTTCTTCTGAGTGTTGAGAATACAGCAGAAAACAAAGTAGTAAGGAAATAAATAATTCACAAGTAAGCCTGTGCTCTTAAAGAAAAAGCAACAATCATTATTTAAAAAGTGCATCAACATCAAAAGAAACAGGAAACTCCAATAAGACCTCTGAGGTTTCTAGCAGGAAGAAGACAAAAATCTGTGAAAGATGTGAAACAAAGGCTTTTTAAGTATCTGTGATTGCTTACAGTCTGGGATATTATCCTGGCAAAGTTATTCAAGTTGATTTCTCCAAACAGTTTATTAGAATGAGCTACTAAGGACAAAATGGCCACCCAACTTATCTATTTTAATAACATAGTTTGAAAAAGACCAGTACAGTACAGCTGCTTAATAATTTCATCTCAGAGATACACAGGATTGATATTCTCTTTTAAATATAGAAGGCTTAAAATGTAGGTTCATAATCTGCCAATGAACACCAAACATTTGCTGTCCACAATTATCACATGTAATATGTGGTGGTTTTCCTCTTTGGGGATCACCTTAGAAATATTAAAATGTAAGGTAGCTGTTCCATATTACTAAAGTGGTTAGCAATGGCTCTCTAATTTGTAACACTTATCAAGTGACACCACTATACCAGTGATATGCACACAATGCCTTTTAAATATAGACAACATTTTACAGGGGAGGAGCCTTGGTGGCATAGGGGGTTGCACTTTGAGCTGCTACTGCAAGACGAGTAGTTTGAAACCACCTGGGTGAAAGATGGGACTTTCTTCTCCTATAATGAGCTCCAGAGCCACTTCTACCATGCTCTACAGGGTTGCTCTGAGTGAGCATCAATTCCATGGCAGTGAGATCTTTTATAAGTACTTCAAATAATGAAAATTTTACAATTAGAAAATTTGTTTATGTTAATGTTGCAGCCAGAACATTAAAGATAATCCACTACACTTGCAAACTTTTAAAATGAGGGCAAGAACACAATTGGCTATGAAGCCTTTTCTTGGGAAAGTGCTAGCTTACAGCTTAACGTTTGAATTCATTCATTTGTGACAAAGATGTTTCTTTTCTCTCTTTATAGGCGGCAACAATAGTGACATGTTTAATATGGATGAGTTTGACCTCCTGGGAGTTGTCATATATGTGCATCCCTTTTTAATACAGATGCTGTTTGATTTATATGGCAAACACATAAAATTTTGGAGATTAGCATTTTAATCAACTTTACTTTCCTAGTATTTTCTCCTTCCCTTCCCTGGTGTCAAAAAGTTTGGGGGGCGGGGGGCGGGGAGCAACAGAACACAAGGTCTGTATAAAGCATAAAATCAGTGCTGTGGGTAGTAGTCTTTCCCCAATCACAGTCTCGAGTATGCTAACAGTTCTCAGGGAATAATCAATTATTCAAGAAACAAGAATCCATTCATGCAGCAAATATTTACTTAAGGCTTGTGCTTCTGCAGGCAGATTCCTCTGCTTCTGTCAGTGATATTATAGAACCTATGGCATTCCGCTTCAGGTTTCCTTTTTTAAATTTCTTTGTATTGAACTTTTATCACGGCAGGTTTGGCAACTTTGAAGTTGTGTGCACCCAGCTGAAGAGCCCTTTGGGGAGGAACAATGCATTCTATTCACACAGTGGAGACCGAAGTCCCCCAGATAGAGGAAACGTGTCTCTTGCCCCTGTTTTCCGTGGAGCCACTGGGAGGCAGCGGGGAGGGTGACCCCCCGCCAGGAAGGAGGCTGGGGCTGCTCCTGCATCTCGAGCAGCCATTGGCGGGAGGCGGCCGCGGCGCCTGGCGCAGCACCCGGCACGTTCGCGCAGTGCCGGCCGCAGGCAGCAGCCGCAGCCGCCGGAAAGGCGGCTCCTTATGGAAAGCCAAGCCAGTGGCAGCTGAGAACAAGGCCATCAGGGCTCCCGGGGGCCTGGGCTCCAGGCGGCTTACGCAGCACTCGAACTTGCTTCAGAGCCTCCTCCCGCCCAAGAGTGGGGGTAAGGAGGGTCACGATGGCCTGACCTCAGGAGGAGCCGCGCGGCGGCCGGCTTGCAACATGGGGAACCAGGATGGGAAGCTGAAGAGGAGCACAGGGGATGCTTCTCATGAAGGCGCTGGCGCCTCCGAAGATGCTCTTGGGCCCACGGATGTGGAAGCAGCCAGGAAGGGGAGCGGGGTTAAGAAGGCCCTGAGCAAACATGGAAAGGGAGGCAGCGGCGGCGGCAGCGGGGAGCCTGGGAAGAAGAAAAGCAAGTCAGACTCCAGAGCCTCCGTGTTTTCCAACCTGCGGATCAGGAAGAACCTGTCCAGGGCTAAATCCACGGCCGGCTCACGCGGGGATGTGCTGGACGGCCAAGCCCTGCAGACTGAAGAGCTGGACAGTGCTCAGTCCCTGGTCACCAAGACCCCGGACCTCAGCCTCTCAGCTGATGAAACGGGCCTATCGGATTTCGAGTGCGTGGACCCTTTTGAGGTGACTGGAGCAGGTAGACCTGGGCCGGCCGAGGCTGAGATTGGGGGGCAGGCGGTTGCTGAGGATGTGGTAAGTGCGGCAGGGGCCCAGGATGGACAAAGGACCAGTTCGGGCTCGGACACAGATATTTACAGCTTTCATTCAGCTACGGAGCAAGAGGATTTGCTCTCAGACATCCAGCAGGCGATCCGCTTGCAGCAGCAGCAGCAGCAGCAGCAACAACAACAAAAACAAGGCTCAGGGGAAACTACAGTGCCGCCCACTGATACCCCCCCTCAGCCTGGGGCCTCCCTGAGTCTGGACCAGTTCCTGCTGGGGTTCAGCGTGAGGACCGAGGAAGCCCTGGGTAATGACAATTCTGAGCAGACTCTGCATACCCCCTCTTACCTACCCGAGAACTGCGAGCCTCCACTGGCCTCCAGTGCTTCCCCCCACTCGGAGGGCCCCCTCCCTGTGACCCAGTCAGTGGGTGCCTTCCCATTTCCTGAGACCCAGGTTGGAGAGGTTGTGACCAAATCCCTTGTTCTAGAGGCAGTGGACACAGATGAGGATGGGGAAGAAGACGCCTTTGATGATGCCCGCCAAGGCTCTCCGGGGGAGAACGGGGGCCAAGAGATGGGAGAGGCCCCTCAGGGACTTGGGCAAGAAGCCGAGGGGGCTGCAAGTCCCCGGACTCCTGAGACTGCCTCCCTCCCAGGCAGCCCTGCCCCAAGCCCACGCTGCTTTAAGCCCTACCGGATGATCACCCCATGCTACATCAAGACCACCACTAGGCAGCTCAGCTCACCCAATCACTCACCTTCCCAGTCCCCAAGCCAGAGCCCCAGGATCCAGAGGCGGCTGGAGTCCTCCCTGATCCGAGGGCAGAGATCAGCTCTTGCTACCACAGCCCCCCAGGGTAAAAAGCACCAGGTTGATGGCGGCCTTGGAGCCGGCCTCAGCCTCTCTGCAGACTGGACTGACGAGCTGAGTACCTGCGAGCCCAAAGATGGGGATTCCGCAGATCTGCTAGAACGTGGGACCATCTCGGATGGTGTCAGCCATTCCAGCCGGGTGTCCCTGGCCCTGGCCAGCAAGTCCTCTGGGTCTCAGGCGGCTGCAGATGGTTTCCAGAACGTATTCACAGGTGAGTGTGCCCTGTCCCTAGTCTCGCAGGAATCCTGTCACCTTGCCAATCAGCAACCTTCCTTTCCGTTCATCCTTCACAGACTCTGAAAGGCTTGCCACATGTGTGCCCTATCTAGGGACTCCTTATCTCTGCAGCAAAATGCTTTTGGCATACATGTTGGTTTTTATAAATTTTTATAAGGGCTTAAAAGGAACACAGTTGTATCTGATCCACAGTCGTCACTAGAATGGGACCCTCTCTGCTCACCCCCAAATGCTCTCTCCAGAGAACCTGGTGTTCCTTATGTCCAGGGTCACCCCAAACAGATAGTTTTTCCTTGTTTCTTAAATCATCGTGTCCTTTTCTCCCTTATCCCTACATTCTTATAAGGAAAGAAATTGTTCCTGGTCCTTTCTCACATGTCAGCGTTGGAGAAACAAATAATTTAATCTGGTTCTATCCAAAGCTATGACCAAGCTCATAGATATATGCACATATATGTACCAAGTGGCTTCAAAAATTCATAGAAAAATTCCATTATCTTTTAATTCCATTTTCCTACCAACTTTTGGAGGCCCCTTTGTGTATGTGTAGGACACCGGTAGTGTAGGGGTTAATATCGGGCTGCTTCTACAAGGTTAGTAGTTGGCAACCACTAGTGGCTCTGCTGGTCAAAGATGAGACGTTCCACTCATGGAAAGATGTACAGTTGTAACCCACAGGGGCAGTTCTACTTTGTCCCGTAGGACAGCTTTGAGTCAGATTACTCAGTGGCAGTGAGTTTGGGGTTTGGGGTTTTGTATATGTGTACTATGTAGTTTACCTCACTGCATTTTTAAACTGGCTACTTGGTTAGATGATCATGCCTATTGGATCATGTAAGCAAATTTGATTCATGCTACTACAAAGTTTATACACAATGAAATGGACTATTAGGACACTTCTCATTTGGTTTCATGGTCCACTTGGGATGTAGTTTAGAGAAGGTGAAATGAGACCTAAAGCCCATGTGATCCGACTTGTCCTTCTCCTTGGCATTTTTATACTATCTTACACAGATCACTATACAAGTATAACTCAAGGATCAGTTCATTGTTCTTAATGTCAAGTACAGTGAATTTTCTTTTACAGACATTTACTGAAGAGCCCCCTCACTGAAAAAATGGCTGGCTGTTTGGGTCATATTAATTTAAAAATTGTATCTTTAATTATTGAATGTGGTATTGAATGTGAGAATATTATAAGTAGGAAAATTGTGGATTCTTTTAAGTACTGGGTCTCATGCATGGTAGGTTTATGTTAAATATTTGAATGATTAAAAATGTACAGCACAATTTGAGAATCTTTTTTATTTAATAGAAAACTATTCAAATGAAAATTTTCAATGAAGACAACTATTATTTGGTTAACTTGTTAATGTTGTAATTGCTACTTTTATTAATTTTTACATTACTCTGTGGATTAATGTTACTGTTGCAGTTCAATTGGTCACTACCTCTTGGGCACTGTGCATACAATGGAACTAAACTCTGCCTAGTCATGTACGATACTTATGATTCATAGCTGATTGGACTATTACGGTCCATAACTTTTGGTCTGGATTGTGGAAATCTATCTCCAGGACTTTTTCCCTCATCCGTCTTAATTGGACAGCTCTGATCATCACAGCAAAATGCACTCCTCTATGATAAGTAAGAGTAAGTGGTATCTGGGAATGAGGTTCACTGGCCAGGAATCCAACCCTGGTTTCCTGTGTGGAGGGATGGATTCGACCACGATAGCCATCGTAGTTAGCCATTTCTTCTGTTCATTTTACCTGCCCTCTTTCTCCCCATCATTTCTTTTCTAACCTGAACTTCTTAATTGCATAGGTTGTTAGGACACTGGCTACATTAAAAAAAAAAAAAAAGACTTTCAGGTAGAAGAACATTGAAAAGTAAATTTCATGTGGCTGACAAATCATGTACATTCTGTTTAGGTAAACAACAATTTTAAAATGATTACTTTTGAAAAAATGTGGAAAAACCCACCATCGTTAAGACTATTGTTAATCTATGTTAATAATGGCTTTTCCTAGTGGCTTAAGGCTTTGGAAGTTTATCCCTTTTCATTTATTTAACAAATATCTTTATGTTGTTGTTAGGTGTTGTTGAGTTGATTTTGGCCTATCTACAACTAATGAAATACAACCTGGTCCTGCTCTATCTATGTAATTGTTGGTATATTTGAGTCCATATTTGCAGCCACTGTCAATTCCTCTCCTTGAGGGCCTTCCTGTTTTTCTCTTCTCGGCTTCTCCGCTTTACCAAGCAGGATGCCCTTTTCTAGGGAATGATCCTTCCTGATGACAATGGTCCCTCCTAAATACATGCGACAAAGTCTAGTCATCTTTACTTTTATGGAGCTTAACAGTTGCATTTCCAACAAGCTCCATGTTTTGTTGTTCTTTCTGGCAGTCCATGGTACTTTAAGTTTTCTTTACCAACACTATAATTCAACTGTATCAATTTTGCTGGGGTCTTTTTCTTACTCCTTGACAGAGTTACAGTTTCAGAAATCCATAGAGGTAGTTCTACCTTGTCCTGTAGGATTGCTAGGCGTCAGAATCAAGTGAATGGTGGTGAGTTTCCTTATTCATTGTCCCGTTTTCACATAACATAAGGGGAGATTGAAAATACTGTGGCTTGGGTAGATGTACAATTGTTCTTAAAGTGACCTCTTTAAAGAGGTCTTTTGTAAATTTTTCTGATGCAATTAGTTATTTGATTTCTTGACTACTTCCATGAGCAGTGATTATGGACTCAAAATGAAACCTTAAAGATGCCAATCTTTTCTCTGTTTATCATGATGCTGTCTATTGGTCCATTTATGAGGATCTTGCTTTTCTTTACATTGAATTTCAATCCATAATGAAGGCTGCAGCTTTTATTTTCATCACCAAGTTCTTCCAGTGGTCTTTGTTTTCAACAAAGTTGTGTCATCTGCAGTTTGTAAGTCGTCCTCCGATGCTGATGCTGTATTCTTCTTCAGCTCATCCAGCTTCTCAGTCTATGAGTTCAGTATCTACAGATATTTGTTCGCAAGCTTTCCATATCATGTGAACAAAGTTTTAATCATTTTACCGAGGACTCTTTTAGTTCTTATCACAATCCATATAGACATCCATTGTGTCAAGCGCATTTGTACATATGGTGGCATCATCATTTTCAAAACATTTTCTTTCTGCTTGAGCCCTTGGTATCAGCTCCTCATTTTTTCTCTCCCTCTACTACTCTCCCTCATGAACCCCTGATAATTTATAAATTATTATTTTTTTCATGTCTTACACCAACTGCAGGTGGTTGTAAGTTGTTGTTGTTTGCTTACTTTACCCATTTTTCTGGGGGGAAGGGTAATGTCAATCACTGTGATTGATTCTGCCTTTCTACCACCACCTTCCCCCCACCCTCCTAGTATTGCTACTCTCATTATTGGCCCTGAGGGGGTTTATCTGTCCTGGATTCCTGTATTGTGGGCTCTTATCTGTACCAGTGTACATGCTCTGGTTTAGCTGGATTTTTAAGGTAGAATTGGAGTCTTAGAAGCATATACAGATCAATAAATTTGGTGAAGGAATGCAACACTGACATACTCCTTTCCAGATTTTAAAGGATTCTATACCCCCTTGCTCTGTTCAAACCACTGCCTTTTGGTCAATGTATAGGGTCTATGTATGTATGTATCTATCATCTATCTATCTATCTATCTATCTATCTATCTATCTATCTATCTATCTATCTATCATCTATCTATCTATCATCTATCTATCTATCTTCTATCATCTATCTATCTATATCTATATCTATCTATCATCTCTCCAGAGCTCTGGCGGTACAGTTAAGAACTTGGCTACCACATCAATTGTATCAAGCACATTTGTACATATGTTGCCATTATCCTTTTCAAAATATTTTCTTTCTACATGAGCCCTTGGTATCAGCCCTTTTTTTAATTCAGATTTTTGTTGTTCTTTTTGGCAGTCCACGGTACTGTAAATATTTTTTGCTAGCACTACAATTCAAATGTATTGATTCTTCTTCAGTCTTCCTTATTCAATGTCCAACTTTCACATCCATATAAGAAGATTGAAAATAGCACGGCTTGGGACAACCTTACTTTTCAACCTTCTAAAGAGGACTTGTGCAGCAGATTGACTCAATACAGTGTGTAGTTTGATCTCTTGACTACTGTTTCTGTGAGCAGTGATTGTCAATTAAAGAAAGATGAAATCCTTGACAACTTCCAGCTTTTCTCCACTTACAATGATGTTACCTATTGGTTCAATTGTGAGGATTTTGGCCTTTTTGATATTGATTTGTAATCCATTCTGAAGGTTGCATCCATGATCTTAATCAGCAAATGCTGATTAAATCCTCCTTACTTTCAGCATGCAAGTTTGTGTTATTTGCATACATTTGGTTGTTAATAAGCCTTCTTCCAATCCAGATGCCACATTCTTCTTCATATAAACTGACTTCTCTATTTGCTCAGCAGCCAGTTAATAAGAATGGTGAGAGGATGTAACCATGTCATACACTGCCCCGATGTTATATCGTGGAATATGTCCTTGTTCTGTTCCACAATTTCCTCTTTTTAAAAAAATTATTTTATTGGGGCTTGTACAATTCTTATCACAATCCATACATATATCCATGTGTCAAGCACATTTGTACATTCACTG